GGACTACCTTTGGCTTTAGGTTCCTTAGTGCTGGTCAGAGATGCTAGGCAGACAGTTCTGGAGACTCAGGGCCAGATCCTCAAAGGTATGGAGGCACCTAACTCCCAAAGGCAGTAAATACCTTTGAGGCTCTGGGCCTCAGTCCTACAGCCCAGAACCAAGAAGGGCAGTGGCAATGCAGGCTTCCCCACACACCCAGCCATTCTGCCTCCATCTCATCCAGGAAGAACCAAGTCAAGGGGTAGGAAGCAAGGTCTTGTGGCTAGGACAATGAACGGGGACTCGGGAGACCTGCGATCCATTCCTGGCTCATCCATCGACTCCTTGGCTGACTGTAGGCAAGTCGCTTAAAGCAGAACTTGCAAAAGCTCTTAAGTGGCTTAGGAGCTCAAGTCCCATTGAAAATCTGACTCTACCCTGTGCCTCAGTTCCCCATCTGTAAAATGGCAATAGTAGCACTGTCCTCCCGCACAGAGGACAGATCCACGCATGAGTGGAAGGTCCTCAGACAACGATGAGTACCATGGAAATACCTAATTAGAGGGAGCGAGCTGGCAAACGAGTCTACGTGGCCCAGGCAGGGACCACCGAACAGCCATCAGTTCTTCCCTTTAGAATTCCTTATACTCTGTCAGGGGGAGGAGCTGTGAGAACCAACCAATTCCCGGGGTCCATGCGCCTGCCAGATGACCCACACAATGGAATCTGTACCTTCACTTCAAAGAAGGCTGATCCAAACGTAGGCCACTTGAAGACAATCTTTAGGAAGGCAAGCTTGGCTTCTTCTCTTGTTTTGCCTGCATGCTTATTGAAATACGCCACAATGGACTGCAAAGGACAACATGACATTACTGAAGGGCTTGCCAGACCACCTGGGAACGAGGACATTTGAATACAAAGAGCATCATGACACACAGATGTCATGTTATTCCTGCCACAAAACATCAGACTTTCCCGTCCTGTTTTACCAGAAATCCACCATGCCCTCACCTGCGCCTTAGCTATTGGGCCAGTGCACGAGCCTGAAAAGACCTTATACGTTATTTTTCCATCTTCCAGCCAGTACAGGTTTGAGTATATCCACAAGGGCTTTTTCCAGGGTGAGGCAGGACAGACTTGTGGTTAACGCACTGGGCTAGCGCCTGGAAGAGCTGGATTCAATTCCCAGCTTTGATACGGACTCCTTGTATCATCTGGAACAAGTCACTTAATCTCTCTGTGCCTTGGTTCTCCACACGTTAAAAGAGGGATAATCAATCTTCGCTTCCTTTGTCTGTCTTGAATGTAAGCTCTGTAGGACCGGGATTGTCTCGTACCAGGTGCTTATACACTGCCCCGCAAAATGGGACCCTGCTCTTTGCTGGGCCCTAAGCGCTGCTATAATAGTAATAGCTACCTATCGTGTAAGTGTAACCTACTAGTGTGTGTGCGTTACCCGACCCACACTGTGCATGGCTGGCAGAGCATTGATTGTGTTCCGCCCCACCTAGAGAGGTTTAGCTCAAGCTGATATACTCCTGCTTTTAGCTCTGGAGGTCCCCGGTTCAGTCCCTGCTGCGTTGGACAGGATGGCAGTGGTCACACAAGCTTATCGAGATGCTTTACCCGCCGCACCGTTCTCTGAGCCTGGCTCGGTGTTATCAAGGCCGTTCCTTACCCTTTTCCAGTCGTCCGGAGAGAGCTGCCGGAGAAGATCCTGAGGCACCAGCTCCTTCAGGAGCTTGGGGATGCTGGGGAAGTAGGACTTGTCATCCTCAAACTTCACCCTGTAGATCAGAGCTGCCAGCTGTAAGACCTCTTCCCGGGTACACTTGTGGTAGCCACGCAGGTACTTTGGTAATTCCTGCACACGAAAGCGTTTCACAAGGTAACGGGGGCGGCCACAAACATCCAGGTTCTCAGAGACGTCCTTTTGTCAGACAGAGGCTGTTTGAATGGCAGCACCCAACCGTCCCAAGACAAATGCCAAGTAGACGCTGGCTAACGGAAATCTAGCAGATCGGCAGCTATAGAAGGGAGCTGCTTGAAAGCCGGCTGTGCTAGTGCAGTATCTTCAGTCTTTTCCATCCCACAACCCAACCCCCTCCTGGTACCCCCACTTAGCTGGGACCCCTTTCTCCTTCAGAAACCCTGGAAAGGCACAATGGTTGGTGGCCCTGGGGACGGGGGTTGCAAAGCTCAGACCGAGACACTTTGCACTACTGCAGCCAGGGATCAGGGCTCGATAAAACAGGGGCTCTCCTGCTCTCTGCCCCACCTTTGAAATGAACCCAAGTCTAACAGCTTTGGGGATTTGAGTGAAAAACATGAATCTTAGCGATGAATCCTGGGTAAAACACTGGATCTGCAGAGCCGGAGCCTCGGTGAAGCCGGATCTGAACCTGAAGCTCCATGTCATGACTGGCCCAAAATGAGGGGAACCAAACCTGCTCCTGAACTACCACCCCACAAGCACTGTGGATAAGCTGGAATCTGGTTCTGAGGCACCAGGCAGGCAGGCTCATCCCCAATAGGTCTTCTCCGCTGCACTGCTGGTGGCGGCTGAGGCCTCTCCCTGCTTTATTTTACACCTGTTTGTTTCTTCCTTCAATCACACCCCCCCCCGCCCACTTCTGCCCTTTCAGCATGTGAGTTACAGCCAGTTCCTTGAGCAGGGCCGGCTCCAGGCAGCAGCCGAGCAAGCTGGTGCTTGGGGCGGCAGCTTGTAGGAGGCGGCATTCCGCCCAATCCTAGGGCGGCACGGCCGCTTTTTTTGTTTTGTTTGTTGTTGTTTCGCTCCGGCCGTCCTGTAGGGGGCAGCGGCGTGGAGGACGGGAGCGCCCTGCAGCAAGCCCGGCAGGGCAGCCCGCATCTTTCCCTCCCAGCCGACCGGAGCGATGCGGAGCCCTCCCGGCAAGGGGCACGGTAGGAGGGGCCGCGTGGCAGCGCCCCACTGAAGCCCTGGCCGCCCCCCTTCTCTCTCTCCCCCCGCTTCCTCCCCCACCCCTCGCTAGCCGGGGCACATCTGCAGGGTAGGGAG